GAAAAACATGGACAATCCATGTAGAGCTCTTGTAGAGCCTCCAGAAAGGAACATGGAGATCCTGCCTTGACTTTAATCCTGAGTGTCCCGCTCAGACCTCCAGAACTGTAAGAGGATAAATGCATGTTGTTTTAGGCTACCAGGTTTGGGGTGATATGTTATGACCATTATAAGAAATGAAGACAGGTGGCACTCCAGAATCTGTGTTTGATCAACCTCCCTCTCCCAGTGGCTCTTGTGCAGGGAGTCCTGGCAGACAACCATCTGGGAAACACTTTCAGAGCTGCTGAGGCTACTTCCCAATCACGATCCATTCACAGAGAACCAAAGAATCTCGCCAGGGTTGGAAGGGCTTTTCAACAAATAGCCGCTTCCATCTGCTCATTTTACAGATGGGGACACTGAGGCCTAGGAAATCCTGCCGCAAGGTGGGAGGGTGAGAGAAGTTCTCATTCGACTGTGTCTTTACTGGCTTTCAAATTCCGTTTGGAGTTTTTACCATGAGCAATCGTGCAGACTGTTGATAGGCTCGCAATAATCCCATAATGACCCAATCATGAAACAATTTAGCAATCCTGCTGCTAATTGCATTTGTGGATATAGCAATTGGGTAACTAGTTGGTTATTACTCATTCCCCAAGAACCATACATATTGCATTACAAGGAAGCTAATCTTAGAAATACTTGTTAACCTCGATGATAATTACTAAGTAATTGGCTAGAACATGCCGTTGTGAATTTATCTGAAATATGCCAGGTAATTATCTGGTCTTATGTTCCTTGTAAAATAAATCCAGGGTCCAAAAAATTGTTCCAGTTGGTTGGCTGTCATCCAACCATCGACCTCTGCCAGCCAATCGTGCAAATGTAAGTCATTAATCAAATTACTCAAATATTTGGTTTCAAACTGAATATTCAGATAAGAAACCTGAATGGCCAACAAGTGGATGGTGCTGAATGGGAGAGAGGAGGTATACGGAGGCCCTCCCCAAGACAAATATATAACAACACAATAATATGGAATAAATGCCACTTCTTTGGGGCTCATCTGGCATCTTCACTCAAAATACCAAAACACTTCAGAGACCAATTACATGTCCCAAAGCTGCAGCATCTTTATCATGGTGCCAGGAAAAGGATGGGCTCTTTGTGAAATCTGTATGCTGTTGTGGTGCTTGGGGAGAGGTGGGGGGCTCAGAATCACGTCCATAATAGAAGAAGGCCGCAAACGCAGCTGGCTTGCAGGCTGAGCCACCCATTTTCATAATGGCCACTCGTTTTTCAAGGGTGGCTGTTAACTGAGTCTGATGACTGCCAGTTTGCCAGTCTTTGGGAAGGCAGTGAGGGAGGCGTGGGTGACTGGGCTGCACAGAGAGCCATGTAAAAGCCAGAGAACAGGGAGGCAGGAGGTCCTTAGAATGGCAGGGAAAAGGGCACAAGACAATGGATTTCAAATTTCTAATTTGGGGACAGAAAAAACAGTAGGGTTAACAGACCAAGAGATAAGGAGCTGACCAGAGACAAAGGTGGGGTGACAGCTTAAGATAAGAGCAGACTGTTAGTGGGAATATAAATTAGTACAACCACGATGGAAAACAGTATGGCGGTTCCTCAAAAAACTAAAACTGGGAATATCATATACTCCAGTAATCCCACTACTGCATATATATACCTCAAGGAAAGGAAATCAGGATGATTTTCCATGCTTATTTCAGCACTATTCACAACTGTTGAGATATGTAATCAATGGAGGTGGCCAACAGTGAAAGAATGGATAAAGAAAATGTCTTATACATACTAATGGAATACGAGTCAGCCATGAAAAAGGAAGAAATCCTATCATGTGAGGCAATATGGATAAATCCAGAGGAAATAAATGTTAAGTGAAATAATACAAGCACTAAAAGACAAATACTGTATGTTCTTACTCATTAGTGGAAGCTGAAAGATTTAATCACACAAATGTGCAGAGCAAAATGGGAGCTACTATTAATAAAAGCTGGGAAGGGAGAAGGGTGAGCAGACTAGGGAAGACTTGATTAACAGATAGAAGAGTGCAAGCAGATAAGTAGAAAGAGCTCTTTAGTACTACCGCACAGTAAAGGGACTATAGTGAGTGACGAGGCTACATATATTTCAAAATAGTTAGGGAATAGGATTTTGAATGTTTACAACATAAAGTAATGATAAATGATAGAGATGGTGGACATATTTAGTCCCCTGATTTGAACATTATGCATTGTCTTCAATATGGAAAAAATCACACTGTGTCCCATAAATATATATAATTAGTATATGTTCATTGAAACTATAAAAGAAAAAAAAAGATGGCAGAGGTAGGGGGAGGGACTAGGGTCGGGAAAGGACCACCTTCCAACTAAACGTAGTCATCTCAAGTAAGGGCCGTTTACTGAATGCTAAAAGGAGATGATACATACTGTAGAAGAAAGGGAGAAGATGAGCCAAGTATCTTTCTGTGGTAGCTTGTAAAGATGGCCACGTACCCTCCCATTGAGAGGGTATGTTTCTGCATTCCATGAATCTGGTTGACCATGTGCCTTGCTTTGGCTAATGGATATTAGTCAATGTTTCACAAGCAATGGCATGAAAACACTCATGTGTTAGGTCTTGACTCCTTGCTGTACTTGGAATCCTGAAACCACTATGGGAATGAGACTACAGTAGCCTATTGAGGATGAGAGGTCTCTGGAGAACAACAGAGGTACCCCATCTGACAGTCTGCCCACCAACAGACGGGTGAGTGGGGGCATCCATGACTGACCAGCCTCCTGTCGATCTGCCAGCTGACCACGGCCACCTATAAGAGTCCAGCTACCAGGCCTGGCTCACCTGACAGGTTATCCTGCTGCTATGGTGTGAACGCAAGTGTGTACATTAGAGATACTGTATACAGGAACAGGATATCCTGTTCACAGGATAAAGAGAAACCATTAAGTTATGGGGTAGCTTTGTTACTTAGCAAAAACTTGCTGAGCTTAAACTTGCTCTTCAAAACAGCTGCCCCCAAATATTATCTACTCCTTATATACTTCTATTCTGTGCAGAGTTGAGATCTGCCATTTCTATCCTGGCTTAAGGAGGGTCAAAGGGCCATCCCTACATCTTCGATCCTCTGTAAGCCCTTACCACCCATCACCCAGGCCCCAGTCAACCCATTATTTGCATAATCAATGGTGACAGACAATAATGTATCTCTTATTGATCACCAAGGTCTTATAAATGGACTCAAGGAAGCTTTATCCTGTAAGGGAAGAAGATCAAAGACACATCAGCTCTTCTCTGAGCCTACAGCTCTTGCTATGGCACTCGCTAAGATGAAAGACTTTTGTGGTTAGGATCTTATTGCTTGAGATGAGTATAGGAATGGGAGAGTGTCTGACTGATACTTGAATGCCGTTGCTGTGGCTAGTCCTAATGTAACAGGGTTAGCTAATGCCAGAGTTGAAGAACACACCAAAGGACTGCTTCACAGCTGTTCAACTGGAGCCAAAAGCTATTATTTTCAACACGCCACATCACTGGGTGAGATTAGAGAAAGCAGGTCCAATAAAGTTGCTATTATCTAACATTTTCTTAATGTTCTCTATTAACTGCCCTTTCTAGGCACCCATGACCACAAATTCTAAATGTTCAAAACAATGGAAAAGACTGCAAATGTGATCTGCAACTTTAATGAAACTCACAGTAACCAGAATCTTCTTTTTTTAGGTATTTTGTTTGCTTGTTTTTTTGTTTTGTTTTGTTTTGTTTTGTTTTGCTTTGTTTTGTTTTGTTTTGTTTTGTTTTGCCATAGGGTGCATACGCTCGCTAGAGAGAGACAAAGAGGGGGAAATTGAGAAATCACCCTCCCCCCAGTGTGGATGGCCACACCACAATTCTTCTCTTTCTGGGATTTTGGGAACACATTCACACTTACTTGGTATGATTTTCAAGCCTCCAGGTCTGGGACTCAAATCATGGTCGACCATGTGGGAACCCAGTGCCTTAACCACCATGTCACCTGATGGCCCCATAGTAATCAGAATCTTATTTCAGAGGTTGGCAAACCATGGCCCATGGGCCATATGCAGCCTGCCACTTGATTTTGTAAATAAAGTTTTACTTTAACACAGTCATGCCAATTTGTTTACATACCATATACATCTGCTTTCACACCATAGCAGCAGGGTTAAGTCACTGCTATGGAAACTTTATGGCAAAACCTAAAATATTTATTGTAGGTTGAGCATCCCTAATACAAAAGTATGAAATCCAAAATGCTCCACAATCTAAAACCCTGTGAGCTCCAACACGAGGTCCTAAGTAGAAAATTCCACACCTGACCTCATGTGATAGGTCACCGTTAAAACACTGCAATACAAAAACACTGTATAAAATTTCTTTTAGGCTATGTGCATAGATATATATAAAACATAAATGCATTTTGTGTTTAAATTTGGGTCCCATTCTCAAGATATCATTATGCATAGCAAATATTCCAAAATCTGAAATCTCATCTCTGAGCCTCAGTTTCCCACCTTAGCACCAGAGAGCTGGACTGTCACGGTATCCATTTGGGCTTCTTCACTCCAGTGTGATTCTATTCCACTTCTGGTCCCAAGCATTTTAGACAAGGGATCTATGATCTTTATTGGGTCTTTTACAGAAAAAATCGGCCAACACCTGAGTTAGTCTAATCCACTCTTTTTTACATATGTAGAAACTGAGCCTCAAAGATGCTATTACACAAATGCTTGGAGGAAAAGGAAATCGACCCATTTTCTCTGACTCCCCATTCAGTGCTCTCCCCATAACACTTTTGCTAGAGTTTTAAAATGAGAAACCATGTAAGCAAGTTGAGAATGGTAGAGTTGGAGATGCCCTGTTAGTGAGAACTTTGAAGTAACCAGAGTCCATTTCTCAACTCTGCCAGAAGCAGAGCTGTGAGAAAGAAGCAGGGTAGGGGAGCCCAGTGGGTAGGGAGCCAAGGTGGAACTGACCTGGTGATGATAGCCAGGTGGGGCGGGCTCATGCAGGCGCCCATGAAGAGAACCACGTTTTCATGCCGTGTCTGCCTGTAGGCCATCACCTCCCGCTTGAAGGCCTTCAGCTGGTCCTCATTGTCCCTCTCGATGTCAATTAGCCGGATGGCCACCTCCCCATGCCAGCGACCGTGGTACACCTGCCCAAAGCGGCCCTTTCCAATGAGCTCGCCAATCTCTAGCTGCTCAAAGGGGATGTCCCACTCCTGAAGGAAGATGCTGGTCTGGCTGGCCTTGCGAGGGAAACTCCGGGCTGAGAGGAGAGACAAGTTCATCTCCTCAAAGTCATCCTCTGACTCCTCAGCCTCATCGTGGCCCTCTTCATTCTGTGGCAAGAAGGAGAGAGGTCAAAGCACTCCCTGCATCTCCCCCACCCTCCCTTGCAGTCCTGCTGGCTTCTGTGTGTGTGTGGAGGTCTGGACACATCTCTGTATGTATTTGTGGCTGGTATGGGCATAAGGCTCCATTTCCCCAGGTATCTCTGGCCTAAAATCACACTGCCATGAAGAAGCCCAAAAGGATACCATGACAGTCCAGCTGTCTGGTGCTAAGGTGAGAAACTGAGGCTGAGATGACAAATGCTAGGGTGAAGCAGGCAAGTTGAAGGTTTCGTAAAACTGTAGCCATTTTGAAATGAAGCAAGGCCTCTGACTAGAGCAATCTGACCAAGTGCTGAGTCATAGGGAGATCTGTTTGAGGAACAGTCAGAAGAGAAACCAGGAATGAACGGGTATTTGAAGTAAAAACAGGAATCAAGATAATTACTCAGGGGAAAGTGATTGACTTGGATTGACTCAAGTGAGGAATGATTTCCATGTGGTGGTATCTTGCATCTATAAATACTAAGCTTTTAGAGACAGCTTTGTGGTGCTTACGAACTAGCTCCCTGTAACCTGGTTGTAGAAATGAACTCTCTTCTCCAGCCTCTGCCTCTTGTTTCATTGACCACAAGAAGCAGCAGCTAGTAAGAGGGGAGACCACTCATTCCAGTTTGCTGGGACTTTCCACTGAAAGTCCCACATCTCAGGACATCCCTTGGTTTCACAAAAACTGGGATGGCTGGTGACTCTGAGAAGTGCCTCGCTCTCGGTGACAGCAGTAGGACTATGATGTGGGTCTCTAGACTCCTGAGATCTGATGCATTTTTAATAGTATCGATGCTGTTTTGTCTAGACTATTTATGCACCTCTGGTAAAAGATGGCAGGATAAAATATGGATACGACATGCCAGTATGTATCACATGACAACCATCAATATGGAGTGTCTCTTGCTTCCCTCCAAGGAATTTGGAAATGCTGATTCAGAAATTGGAAGTGATCAGAGCTACAGTCCAGAAGCCTGAGGTTCCCATAGTAGCTGGGAGGGTAACGGAGAGTGAGAAGTGAATAGAATGGGCTTAACAGTCAGATGGAGTGAGTTGTAATCTGGTCCCTGTATGACTTTGGGCAACTTGCTTTACTTCTCTGAGCCTTCTTTTCCTTACTGTAAAGTGGGAGCAATGAAACTTGCTCAGGGATGGGGTGGTATAAAGTTTTGTTTGTTTGTTTGTTTTGGATAAGTTTTTTCTATAGGGTGCATGTGCTCGCCAGAAAGACAGAGACAGAAAGCGAAAAAATCACCCCCCAGGGGGGATGGCCACGCTGCAATTCCTTCTCCTCCATTCTCCTCTCGGGATCTTGGACACGCATCACACGCACCTGGCGTGAGTTTAAGCCACCAGGTCCGGGACTGGAACCACAGTTGACTACATGGGAGTTCAGCGACATAGCCATTATGCTAACTTCTGGTCCCAAGTTTTAAATGAGATTTGTTCCAGGGGGTGGTGTGGTGTGAAGTTTTAAGTGAGATGAAGATCTGGCAAGTTCTTTGCACAGACCCAATCACTTTATCAAACATTCACTGGGATTTTTGAGAAAAATACAAATTCCTGGGCTCTGCGCAGACTGACTGAATCAAAATATTAGTGGGTTAGCAGGACCCAGGCATCTGCAGTTTTGCTATGCATGCCCACATGGCTTAGGCACGTTTAGGCATGACCACCAGTCCAAGCACCCACTTTCTCAGCATGATGTCTGTGGGACTTAGGGGTGCCTTGCTTTTTGGATCCTTTGCTGGAGTTTCTGGAGTTTCTGCAGGTGTCCACACCAGTGGGGATCTCCAGAGATCCAGGGGCCTGCTGAGACAGCCTGAAAAGGTGGTCTCTTGACTGGACACAAACAAAACCAAATGCCTGAGCAAGCAGCCCCAGGAGCATGCTTGGGAGAAACAATACAGTAATCACTGGCTTCTCCCTGAACAATGTCCCAACTACCACTCCCAGAAAGGAATGCGATGTCCTCTGGAAACCATGGCTCTATTCCGTTCAGTCTAAGATGTATCAGTCAAGACTCTATAGTTCTCATCCAGGGCATTTCATTTATTCTTCCAGGGACTTGAGCAGGTAGGAAAAACCCCCAGAACATTCTCAGCACCCCACCAAGCCTACTACCTGTGGCCCCCACTTCCTCCCACTTCTTCTTTTGAAGGCAGTGGGGCATGTCCCCCTTGGTATTCACTCAGCCCTGAGCCGATTTTTCAACTAAGAATGCTAATCTCTTGCCAACTTCCGCACAACTTGGCTTTTCCGTGATGCACATCATATAACGGCCCATTAAGCTCAGAGCCGGGAGGGGCCGCTGCTCGTTAATTGTCCTGGAGTCGAACATCCATCAAACAGGGCCACCGTGCCCCCCACCTGCCCCAAGCCCTCTGCGTCATTGAAGACATCAATCGCCTTTGCCAAGTTCTAGGCAGCCCCTGGAAAAAGTTGCTACACTGCTCACCGATCCTCACCTCCGAGGTTGGCTCCACTTCAATTTGAAGTAATGGATTTCCTTCCAAGCTTTAAAGAAAGAAAAATAAATGTGATCCTTAGGAATAAGGTAAGTCTGTGTGTTGAGTTTAGCCAGGTAGGAAGAATCCCAGAGTGGGGAGTCTTTGCCAATCCTTTATCTCACGTTTCATTTCAACACTTATGTCTGAAATCACCCATAACCTTGTCACCCAAAAGCACTGTGCAAAAAACATTGTTTTAAATAGGTTTCCTGGGCTGCACGGGCCTCATTTTTCTTTATTGTTTTGATTTTGACTCATCTAGCAGCTTCTTTACGAATTGGCCAAAATGCCACAGTGGGAAGAGTCCTTGGAGCTCTGGGTATTTGCTAGAAAAGAATTAATCAGACCTCTACGGTTCATGAAGATCTGCAATCTTTTGGAAGGAAAGAAGTGTTCATTGGTGTGTCTGCACAATCATTCGTAAATCCACTCATTCACTTAATTAGAATTGTGTGCCAGCAACAGTGCTAGGCCCTTAGAGGAGTGTAGAATTGAAAGTTGCATGGATCCTGACTTTAAGGAACATTATATTATTACTGAAGGAACTAAAGCAAATGTGTAGGTATTGTGCAGCGAGGCTAAGGATGACAGGTCAAAAGTTAGGTATGAAGTGAAAGAATGAAGTGTGGTGGAAATTCCAAAGAGAGAATTACTCAATATATTTGAAATTTCATAGTGTTTGAGTTAAGTCTTGCCAATAACACTGGAACAGGACATGTGGAATGAGATTGAGACCGTGTTGGACCAGAAGACACAGTTGTAGGGGTGTGTGTGTGGTGCATTCATGAGCTCATGAACTGCAGTAGCATCCTGAGTAGGTGAGTTTGCTGGTATGGGTGCTGGCAGGGACACAATGACTTGGCATGCCTGAGTAAAATATGGGTATTATGGGATGTGACCCATGTAGGAGGGTCTGTGTGCATGTTAGCTGGGTGTACACTCTGGGGATGTGAGGAGCATTCTGTATGCTGATGGTATAATTGGTTATGTATTTGGAAGAAGGGGAGGGACTGTTGAGTGGCATGGCATGTGATGAGATGTAGGACACAGTGCATTAGAGGTGTACTTTGTGGGGTTGTTTTCAGATTTGAGGATGTGTATGTGTTTACAGAATGCAGTAGGGAGACAGTAACTGGGGTGCTGAAGGCACAAATGAGCAGGAGCAGGAGAGAAAAAGGAACCACAATGAGTACCACGTCCCCTTCCTATTTCCCCAGTGGAAGTTGAGCTGGCCTCTTCCTTTGGGGAGGGGAGGGCCTCCCTACCCTGACCCTCAGACCCTAAGAAGTTGCTGACAGAGTGAATCCACTTGTTGTAGGGGCTTCTGGTGAGAACCAGTCTGAAAGGTTGTAAGAACTAAAAGAAGGGGAAAGATACACTGGTCACAAAGTGGTGTTCGCCGTCGTGTTAGCCAATTATTTATGGCACAGCCTAGGAAGACAGAATGACACTGCGCAGTGACAGCTGATATGCTGGGAACTTGACACCCTGGGGAGATTTGGGTGGAACAATGCAGCTGGGGTCCTTCCTCCCACCTAAAAATCCAAACAAGCAACCCTCCTTTTTGCATCAAGATGTGACTCCAGCAGCCAGAGCTCTCCAATTATTTTTCTTCTGCAGAGTGTGTTCCCATCACCCATGTACTTTTAAGCAGATCGCCGGCATCTATTGACTCTGTTTTTCACTGGTACTCCCCAACTGTCAGTTAATAACCTGGAGCTCGTCTTGCACAAATTGTGGAATTGGATTATGTGCAGCAGCAGAGAAATGATCCGGAGCTAGATGTCAGCACAATATCTCCCAGCAAATTGCTGCTCCTTTGATTTCGGAGATGTACTATGTGGTTCTTTAACAAAGTCCATAACATGGGTCAGAAAAGATGAAGCAGTTAGGGGAGTCAGAGGAAAACCTAAGTAGGCAAAAATGTGAGTTGGCAAACTGGTCAAATTGAAATTAGTTTCCTAGTATGTTTCAGATTTGAGTCACATCCAAAGAAATTAAGGAAGATAATTTTGCTTTGGTTACATAAGCAGTAGACCACCTGGAAAGCATGAGGACTCCACACACAAAGATGTTCACAGCAGCATTGTTTACAATGGTGAAACGTCGAAGACAATGGAGAATCCAGCAATAGAAAAACGGTTAAGAAAATTATTCTACATCAGAATGACATTTTGTGGCCAATCGAAATGATGTCTATGAAGGGTCTGAAATAATATGAAAAATACGATGGTAGAGCATTCACAGTCACAAAGCAGGGTGGCTGTAACTGCATACGCTGTGGGCGTGACTACAGAAAACATGGACAGGAAGAATACAGAAGAGTTAGAATTGTGGTGGGAGGACGAGGGATTCTTTTTCCTTTCCTTTTTCATAGAATCATCTGAATTTTCTCAAATTAATTTTAATTTTAATTTTTATTTATTTATTATTTTTTTTGGAGAGATTTTTGCTATAGGGCATGTGCGCTTGCCAGATAGACAGAGAGAGACATAGAGACAGAAAGCAAGAAATCACCCCCCCCCAGGGGGATGGTCATGCCGCAATCCTTCTCCTCTTTACAATGGTGAAACGTCGAAGACAATGGAGAATCCAGCAATAGAAAAACGGTTAAGAAAATTATTCTACATCAGAATGACATTTTGTGGCCAATCGAAATGATGTCTATGAAGGGTCTGAAATAATATGAAAAATACGATGGTAGAGCATTCACAGTCACAAAGCAGGGTGGCTGTAACTGCATACGCTGTGGGCGTGACTACAGAAAACATGGACAGGAAGAATACAGAAGAGTTAGAATTGTGGTGGGAGGACGAGGGATTCTTTTTCCTTTCCTTTTTCATAGAATCATCTGAATTTTCTCCAATTAATTTTAATTTTAATTTTTATTTATTTATTATTTTTTTTGGAGAGATTTTTGCTATAGGGCATGTGCGCTTGCCAGATAGACAGAGAGAGACATAGAGACAGAAAGCAAGAAATCACCCCCCCCCAGGGGGATGGTCATGCCGCAATCCCTTCTCCTCCGTTCTCCTCTCGGGATCTTGGGCACACACGCACATGCGCCCGGCGTGAGTTTAAGCCACCAGGTCCGGGACTCGAACCATGGTCGACTACGTGGGAGTCCAGCGACACAGCCATTACGCTAACTGCTGGTTCCCAATTTTTATTATTTTTATAATAGTCTAAACTAGAGGTCAGTAAACACCTTCTGCAAAGGACCAGATCTTATTTTCAGTTTTGTGAGACATAAGATGTCTGTCATAGCTAGTTAGTGCGGGTGCTATATTTTGAGAGCAGCCAGATGATACATGGTAAAAGAATGGACATGGCTGTGTTCCAGTAAAACTTATGTGTAAAAACAGGCAGCAGGTTGGATTTAGCAGCTCATAGTTCGCTGATCCTTGGTATAAACCCAAATCACATTATTTTAAAAGGGAACAGTGACATAACTGCTCTTTCATTGAAAATGTAGCTAGTTCCTAGGGAAAGTTGTGTTTCTAATTACAGAGGGACCCAGGGGTCCCGAGGAAATGATCTGGCCCCTGGAAATCACACTTGACAGGCAGGGCCAGAGGTGCCAGGCTGAGCTGGCTCGTGGGGGCCAATGCTGCCCCTGTCAGCACACCTCTCAGCTTGGCTGTTGTGCTTTCTCTTTATCTGACACTCCCTAGGTCTCTCTCTCCCCCTTGTACTTCCCCTCTGTCTCCCTCCTCATCAATTTCAGAAAGATGAAGAAGATAGGGAGTCCTAATGAACCAAGGGGCCAAGGTTCAGAAGCTCAGGATGGGGAAACTAGTCTGTGTTTCACTTACATTGGATTCGAGGTCACTGGATGTAGGATGACCTGGGGTGCCCGAGTCGGCGTCTCCGGCACTGGCACCACATCTGAGAATCAGAGATTAGATAGTCAGAAACCATGCATGGGGTCCACAACCATCCCAAAAGCCTGACTCCTGGGAGACCTGGCAGCTAATCACTTTTCACCAGCTCCTGGGTCCCTGGGGTAGACAATCCCCTTTCTCTCTTCTTCGACCACTTGGACTGTACCTGCTCAGATGGGCCAGTGTGCTAGATGATGCACTAAACAAAATGGTCCATTGTTGACTAGGGGGCTGCCAAGGCACCCAGGTAGTCTAATCGTCCATTGGTCATCTCAGATTCTTCCTCACTCCTGATCTTCCTTTTTGGAAGATGAGGTCACTTGGCTTCATATCTTACCAGCATCCAACTTAAGCCCCTCTGGCCATCTATCCCCTGCGATGTGGCTCTGGACCCGTCCTTAGCCTTGTCCCTTTTTTCCATGGCAGACCACTCTCAGGCCATTCTCTTACGTCTGTGGACCTCCTTGGGCCCCACTGGGTCCTTAAGACCTCCTACGCTCACTTCCATGTCCAGCCATCATCCTAGGGTGTGGCAATTCCACCACCACTCTCCCTGACCATGTCTACCCCAACGACATTCACCCTCATCCATTCCAGCAACTCCTGCCCCTCATAGCAGGGTGTGTTCAGAAGGGCCAGGTCTAGCTCCCAAGACACTCACCTGGGAAGATGAACTGCTGCTTATATTTGTAATAGTGAGATGCTTGCAAAAGAGAGAAAACACCAATGTCAGTACAGCTCAGGAGCTCTCCCTGCAGATACCACGTGGTCATTCTTTGCTCTTTCCCAAGAGTTTCCATACTTCTGCAGATGCCCCAAATTATAAGCGATTGAGAAATGTGGAAAGAAATCAGAGCTCAAAACATCCAACCAACCCTCCCATTCGACACCTCGCACTCCCTAAAATCAGACCCCTCCAACTCAGAGAATTGTTCTGAGTACAATACCATTTTTGTTAAGTGCATAATTACACACATGAAGAGAAAACATCTGTAAAGCCAAAATATTCATGTTTTCCCTTTTGGCAGAGTGATGACAGTGCCTTTATAAAACAAATCCTTTGTGCTTTTCCTGTATTTTTCAAATTTTCTGCTTGAGAATTGTATTAGTTTTCTTTCTTTTTACATTTTTTCCTCTGCTCTAACAAAGTACAACAAATTTAGTGGTTTAAAACAACACAAATGTAGCTTCTTACAGTTCTGGGAGTCAGAAGTCTAAAATAAATCTTAAAGGATTAAAATCAAGATGTCAGCCAAACTGGCTTCTTCCAGAGGTTCCCAGGAAATTCCATTCCTTATCTTTTCCAGCATTTGAGGCTGCCTGCATTTCTTGGCTCATCGCCCCATCACTTTAATCTCTGCTTCTGTTCTGACAGCACTTTCCACTGCCTTTGACCTTGCCTCCTTCTTACAAAGACCCTTGTGATTTCATTGAGTGCCAGCCTGATAATTCAGAATAGCTGTCTCATCTATCTGTTAGTTAATCACATCTACAAAGTTCTTTTTCCCAAGGGAAGTAGCACACATGTAGATTCCACGATTAGGACATGGACATCTCTGGGGTGGGGCTAGGGGGTTATGCCACCCACCATAACCATAAATTAACTTCTGCATCTAAGAAAAAAATATGGGCAACAGCAGGTGGTGTGGTGGTTAAAGCACTGGACTCCCACATGGCTGACCATGGTTTAAGTCCTAGACCTGGAGACTTGAAAATCACACCAGATGCATGTGCATGCATGTCCAAAATCCCGAAAGGAGAATGGAGGAGAAGAGCTTGTGGTGTGGCTATCCCCGCCCTCTGCGGGGGGGTGATTTCTCACTTTCCCTCTCACTGTCTCTCTCCAACAACAGCACATATCCTATGGCAAAAAAAAAAAAAAAAAAGAAAAAAGAAAAAGAAAAGAAAAGTAAAAGAAAGTTCCTGGATTTTACTGCTAATTCTCCAACAATTTGTTTTACCTCCAGTCCATTCACCAGAAGCCAGGAGTCTCAGACACTTTGAACTTTTCTAATCAGAAAAGTTTACCACTGGGGTATTCCCCACCCAGAGTAGGAGATATAAAGAGTGTCAGGGGAGGGGACAGGTGACACAGCTCTTATACCCCCAAGTAAATAAAGTAGGCAGGGACACAAGTTCGAATTGTTGAATTTGCTTCCAGAACAATTTGAATACACTCAGAGAGGAGCTGTAATTGGAGTCGATTCGCCAAAAGCGAATGCAACAAACGTGAACACAATTAATTGTTCGGGGCCTAGAGTCTAGAAACTGATCCTGCAGGGTCCGGCCCTTGCTCTGCCTCTGGCTACTTGTAAAAGCTGAAAAAAGTCTCTGCAAGTCTCAGTGTTCACATGTGTAAAATGCGCATGGTAATAACCACCCCTTCCCGTAGGCTGGGATCATCATTATGTAAGAGCGTATAGTAGGTGCTGAATAAATATTAGCTGCCATGAATAAGCAAACCTCTTGCTAAACTCTTTGAATTAATAGACAAGAATGATTTATAATTAAGAGACGACTGGAGAGTTTTAAGTGCTAAATCATTTGCTTTGGGGAAGCAGATAGAACACTCCCCCTGAGGTTGGAATTGATTTATAACTCCTTCAAGCTAAAAAGCGAGAACTAGTACCTCAGGATCCCAAACTCTTGGTTCTGTGCCTTGCACGAGTAGGCATGCAACACACACGTGCTGAATTAATAGACTGCCTTTTATCATTGGTGAAACAACCGAAATGTTTGGCTTAGTCCAATTCCAGCTGATCTCTAGTACGATATATTTTTGACTCTGGAAGAGGGAGTGTTCAGGACAGGAAACAACATATTCAAGGTCACAGAGCAGACCTTTAAGAAAAAGCCACCTCTATGACTTCAGGAGCCCCTCCTTTTTTTCTGTTAGATAACCTAGGCTTTTCATTGCCTGCAGTTATTTTATTCATCAACCAGGGGCTAAAATTAAAATTATAAAAAAGAAAAAACATCTGGTATTCTCAAGAGGCTTAGCAGATCTCTTCCCTCCTTGGCTCTGACTGTGATGGGTGATCCAGCGTCTGCAGACAAGGTTGGGTGGCGAGGTCATCTTTAATGAAGGAGGGGCTGGGTAATGGACAGTAAGAGCGGGTTTGGTGAGTCTGAGAAGGGATAGGTGTCAGGCAATGAGACACCCAGCAAATGGTCCCACACCCATGGCAAGCCCCTTCCTGATGCTTCCATGTGCCACAGAACAGCATGTTCCTGATGACGGGAAGAGAGACTAGTGGCCAGAGAGGAGGAAGGACATCTTGCTGATGATAGACACGAGCGAGAAGCGGCTCCAAAGCATAGCCAAGAAGCCAAGAGGGCTGTTCAGGAGAGCTGAGCGGCTCCTAGTTCTCTGACCTGACAGAGGACTTGAGACCTGGGAAGCTGCAGATGAGATCAGAGAGACACGCAGCCCACCTTCAAGGAGCTCCATTCTGAAAACCTCATCCTCCCTCGATGCCTCCCCAGAGAGGAGCTAGAGTGCTCTTTCAGAACGGAGGCGGAAGGGTCAAGTCATGCTCTGCCTAAACCTTTTGATTGCTTCCCATTGAGTCTTAATTAAAAACTAAACTCTTTTAGGCCTCCACGCTGCAGCTCTGAGCCCCCCGGGTGCCATTTTTCCCTTATTTATGGCACTTGGAGCACTGAGACATCCTTCTAGCTTCTTTGTCCTCCTCTGCCTTCTGGACTCTGAGTCTTCAACCTCAATTTGTCCTCTTGCATTTGTTCAAAGCATTACTCTTTCCTTCATAGCTCTTATTACAACTTATCATCCTATTTTCATGTGTGCATTTACTCAGTGAAAGCCTATGTCCCTAAGCTATAAATTCCATGAGAACAGGACTTGTTCTGGGTAGAGTAATATTCCACTCCCTCATGATGCCCATGCTCTGATCCCTGGAAACTGTCAATATATTACCTTATGTGGCAAAAGGGGCTTTGCAGATGTGATTGAGTTAGGGATCTTAAGATGGGGAGACTTTTCTGGATCATGTGAGTGGGCTCAATGTAATTCTTATAAGAAAGAGGCATGAGGGTCAGAGTCAGAGGAGGAGTTATGATAATAGAAAGAAGGGATGGCATGATGAAGGACCACAAAGAAATGCAGGTAAGCCCTAAAAGCTAAGAAATAAATAGAATGCTGGTATACCAATTATTTGCAAATCACTTACTTTCCCACTGAATACATTATACCTTCTTTTTCCTTTGGTCACAGCCCAAATCAAGGCAGTGTGAACAGAAGACATAATCAACTCGTCCTTGGCTGGCTGGTTGTACCCAAGTATTGCCCGGGTATAGGGTGGGGCCTCCATTCACCTCCTAGCCATTCCCTCAGGGCTGGTTAAACTTGGAGGTGTGGTCTGAGGCTGAGGACCTTGGACTCTGCCTCACTGGGAGAAGTTCACTGACTCAGGAAGAAATCATCCCATAGACCAACATGGCCCAGTGGAACTTCCTGTGATGATGGAAATGTTCTATACATGTGCCAGTATGCCAATATGGTAGCCACCAGCCACCTGGGGCTATTGAAATGTAGCTCATGTCACTGACGAATTAAAATTTTAAATATATTCATTTTAATTCTCTTCATTTCAATAGCCACATGTGCTAATGGCCGCCATACTGAACAACACCAACCTAGACTCTGGTTCCAATCGGCCAAGTCAGACCTCATCCCACCACCTCCCTCTTGAAGTCAGCTGTTTGGTGCCACAATATGGTTCAGTTGGAAACATTCTTGAGGCCTTAAAATAGGTCCTTGTCTGGGGTAGGCCCCATAAGAGATGGTAAAACTCTTAGGTTCTCCACTCAAGGAAGAGAAATAATCCTTTCCTGGTCCAAGGATAAAAGAGGCCAAGAAACCAAAATGTTTCCTCAGTGGTTTCTCAACCAGCATCTCCCAATCCAGCATATACTCCTGGTCCAGATCCACATGCCCTTCAATTCATAAGCTGGAGAAACCTTCCAGGTTATCTCATCCAACTCCAGCTTTCATAAACCACAGGATTGTGAATTCAGGACTCCAGACTGTTCACTCAGAGCCCTGTCTTGGCATCTAGGTTAAGAAGTAGGATGGCTGGGGCCAGCAGGTGACATAGTGGTTAAAGTGCTGGATTCCCACACGGTTGACTGTGGTTTGAGTCCCAGACCCAGTGGCTTGAAACTCACACTAGGCCTGTGTACATGTGTGTCCAAAATCCCAAAAGGAGAATGGAAGAGAAGAGATTGCATCATGGCCATCCCCTCAGGTTTCTCATTTTGTGTCTTTCTGTCTTTCTCTGTCTCTCCTGTGAGTGCATGTACTCTACAGCAAAAGTCTCAAAAAATAAAAAAATAAAAAAATAAAAGATACAGGCTGCTGTCCTGCACAGGCGTGTGTCCCCTGAGATGCTCAAGACAGGATGTTCCTGTCAACTTAATTTTGTGATTAAGTTCACAAGGCAACTGTCAGCTCCACAGCAGATGGGTCCTCTGGTGACTTAGACTCAGGTGAAGACATTGGGTTGCTGGTTACCAAAGACAGCATCTCTAAGAGTCCCTGCACCTTTCTGAGCGTGAGGTTCCTCATCTGTAAAATGGAGCTGATGATACTATATGGCTAAAGATGAAGTAAGGTAATATACAGCAATTGCCCTGCATATGGTAGGGGTCAATCCATGGACAGCCTTGCCTTTCATTGATTATCAGCTCATTTTACCTTCAAGCATGGACTGCCCCATCCAGCTTTAGATGAATCCAACGGCCTCCCTCATCTCTGCCCCTCCAATGCTCTACCTACACATCTCCCCAAGCATGGAGGTACCTGGCAGGTTGAAGTTCTTCTGCTGCCTTGTGCACTGTGGGGAAGGGTGGAGAGGAGAAGGCGGTGTGGCGCTGGGAGGAAGCGGGGGCGCTGGCGAGGAGGGCGTAGAAGATGTTGTGGACGAGGGGTTGCTGCTGGAGTCTGGCTGGTAAGGGACAGGGATGTGGTCCTGTTTAAAACAAAAACAAACACAGGACAGAGGACAGGGTCAGGCAGAGAAGCAGAGACACGGCACAAAGAGTGAGCTGAGCAGGAACAAGCCCCCACCCCGCACCCTCAGGCACCCTTGCCCTTTCCTCAGTCACCAGATCCTTCTAAAGTCTTGCCTGCCTCATCATCCCCACAGGGTTACATCCAGCTGTGGAGGGAACAGTTTCTGGAGCCAAATGCCTGTCCACTGCTCAGATACCAGAGTGAAAGATTACCACATAATGAAAACTACAGAGGTGACTGCCACCTGCCCTGCGCCTCTTTGATTCTGGAAAATTCCATGCTGAGGTGCCCAAGTACTCTTCCCATCCTGACGCCTCTCCTCCTGGGTGTTTATTAAAGAATCAACAACTGAAAGCTCCAGAGAGAGCATGAGAGTGAGTCTCCAGCATCTTCACTCGCGCCTCGGTTGGAAGCAGCACTGTCTCTCCTTGTGTCTTGGACCAGCTCTGAAGCAAGGGTGAAGCTAGAACCCATATACATATCCTCACTATGGCCATGGTGAACCCACCACTCCTCTGACCCGCCTCTTTTTTTCTTTTTTAAAAAAATTGGCTGGAGGTTGCATGTGCTTGCTGGAGAAGGAGAGAGTACAAGAAAGAGACAGAGAGAGAGAAAGAGAGTGAGAAAATACCACCCCTGTGGGAACGATCATGCCACAATCCCTTCTTCTCCATCTCTTCCTCCTTTGGGGATTTTGGGTTCACACATGCACACCCACACGGCAACACACCCATATCTCCCCTCCCCCACGCCTGGTGTTTTTCAAGCTGCCGGGTCCAGGACTTGAACTGTGCAGTTTGTCATGTAGGATCCAGCCACTTCAACCACCATGCCACTGGTTGGGCCTGACCCTACTCTTAAACATAGTCCCTGGTATTCTCCCCATAGCTAGAGCCATCCATCAGTCACTTGTGTAGTTTGGGCACACTTGGTCATTCCTTTCTCTGTGAAAATCCTTCTTCACTTGACTTCTAGAACCCAATACTCTCCTGGTTTTCCTTCTGCCTCACTGGTCACCCCTTCCCAATCCCTTTCTCTTGCTCTTCCTTGTCTCCATGACCTATTAACATTGAAGTGCACCAGGGCTCATTCTTAGTCTCCTTGACATTTGTTGGATGTGTTAAAGAATATCACACTTAGGCCAACAGGTGGTGTGCAATTTAAGGTAGCTAGATCCCACATGGACCACAACTTCATGGATCGAGTCCTGGACGAAGCAGCTTGAAATCATGCCAGGCATATGTGCATGTGTGCCAAAATCCTGAGAAGAGAATGGAGGAGAAGGGATTGCAATATAGCCATCCCTGCTAGGGATGCTTTCTTAATATAACAAACTGGAAAAAAAAGAAAAAAAATCACACTCAACATATCCAAAACTCAATTCTCAATTGTGCTCCCATCCTGTTCCACCGCAGACCTGTTCATTTCTGTGACCTGTGACAGCAACCTCATCTTTCAGACTGGGCACTTGGGCACTACCCTTGAATCCGCTGTATTACACCCCATATCTAATTCATCCAGAAATGTAACTGGGGCCTGTGCCATAGCACAATGGTTAACACTATGAAGAGGAAGCCAGACTCCACATAGCCTACCAGGGTTCAAGTTTCAGCCCTGGTGGCCAGAAAAACATGTTCCTATATCCTGATGATGGAGAACTGAGGGAAAAGGATTGTAGTGTGACCAGGCCCTACTGGGGTTATCTCTCTCTCTCATGCACATGCACCCTGGCATACATGTGTTATGTGCATGTGTATGATATATATGATACACACATACATGGTGTATATATGAATATGAATTTTAAAAATTATACACACACATACACCCACACACACACACACACACACACACACACACACACACACACATGAATGAAATCTCATTGGCTCTACCTTCAATATCAACAGAATCCAAACATGGAACCTCAGCTCTACTACTATTGCCTGGTCTAAACCACTGTGACTCCCTTTGGCCCCCTAACAGGTATCTCTGCTTCCAATCTACCCCCTGACACATACCCTGGCATCTATTCCCCTGCGGACCGACAGAGGGATCCTTTGTACAGTATCACTCAGTCACATGCCTCCTCTGCTCAGTTGGTTTCTCTTCTCACTCAGAGCAAAGGACAACATCCTTGCCATGGTCCTGAAGGCTTGAGTCCCTCTGTGTCACTCTGTACTGTCACCTCTTTGATAGTACAGTGACACACTGTAACCTTCAACCCTTCCCAGCCTCCCCCTTGATCACTGCATTCTGGACACCTCTTCCTCATTGTGGTAGATAGAATGTTCCATGTCCCAAAGACATGCAAGCCTTCATTCCTGGAACCTGAGAACATGTTATATGACATGGGAAAAGGGATTTCACAGACATGATTAAGGTTATAGACCTTAGGGAGATGACTCTGGATCGTGTAGGTAGGTACAGTCTAATCCCATGATTCCTTATACCAGACTGGGGAGGGGGAAGTGGATGGTGGAGAGTAGGTGGGAAGGCATTCTGTAAATAAGAAATTATGAATTTTTTTAAAAAGTAGTGAACTTTTTCCAACTGTGGTCAGAGAGATGTGGCAGAAGGAGAAATCAGAGAGGTTCAAGGAACTCATTGCTGGAGGGGGCTGTGTGGAAAGTACATAAAGAAAAAAGGATCTCAAAGCAAAAATCAGCCTTCAGTGGATAGCCAACAAGGAAATGGGACCTCAATCCTACAACCACAGGGAACATGAGTAAGTTCAGAAGTGGATTCAGGTCCAGAGACCCCAGAAAGAAACACAGCCCTGCTGCCATCTTCACTTTGGCTTTGCATAACTAAACATGGAACTGAGTTGTTCTTCTAGCCTACAGAATTAGAACAGTAAGATGAATAAAGGAGTAGTGTTTGAAGCCATGAGATTTGTGTTAATTTATTATGGCAGCAGCAGATAACTAAGGCACTGAACCTAGAATATGCTAGATACGTTTCTGCCTCAGGATGGTTGCATTAGCGATTCCTTCTACCTAAAATGTTGTTACTGCAGATATACACATCTCTCTCCTTCATCTCTTCCAGTATCACCTTTACAATGTGGTCTGCTCTGTCAGCCATATTTAAAACTGCAACCCCTGACTCCAGCCAGCACTCAAGACCCCACTACCCTGTCTTACTTTTTCTTTTTTCCGTAACACTCATCATAACATAGATAATTTACTTACTATGTTTATTCTCTATAGTAAAGTACCATTTTCTTCAGGCCTTCATGGTTTCTGATGAGAAATTGGCTGTCATTTTAATGTTTCCAACCATAAGTAAAGTGTTTCTCTTTTACTGCTTTTCTTTCTTTTTTGTTTTTCTTTGCCCTTAGTTTTCCGAAGTGTGACATGATGAATCCCAGCATGGACTTGTTCGAGTTTATCTTGTTTGGGATTTGCTGAAATTCTCAGATCTGTAGGTTTATGTCTTTTGACCAGTTAGGGAAGTTTTTGCCCTGCTCTCTTTATCCTCTCCTTCCAGGCTCCAATGACATCAGTGTTAGATCTTTTATACCAATATTGGGTCTAAGGCTCCTGGATCCTGTGCTCATTTTTTTTCTCTAAATATAACTTCTATTGTTCTATTATATTTTAGAGAGAGATTTTTGCTATAGAGCACATGCACTCACCAGAGAGACAGAGAGACAGAAAGCGAGAAACCACCCCTTATGGGGAATGGCCATGCCACAGTCCCATCTCTTCCATTCTCCTCTTGGGATTTTGGGCACACATACATGTGTCTAGTGTGAGCTTCAAGCAGCTGGGTCTGGGACTCAAACCACAGTCGACTATGTGGCAGTCCAGCAACATAACCACTATGCCATCTGCTGGTCCCCTTTTGTTCCATCTTTAAGTTCACATATTCTTTCCTCTGCTCCTTTCATTCTGTTATTGAGCCTACCTACTCCATTTTTCTATTGGTTATTGCATTTTGTAGTTGTATGCTCTAAAATTGTTATATGCTTTTCTTTCTTAGATTTGCCATAGGGCACATATGCTCACCAGAGAGAGACAGAGAAAGAAAAAGTGAGAAATCATCCCCTGAGGAGGTGGCCTCATTTCAATCCCTTCTCCTCCATTCTTCTCCCAGAATTTTGAGCATACACACACACATACACTCGATGTGTTTTTCAAATTGCTGGGTCTGGGAATTGAACTCTGGAGTCAGCCATGTGATATCCACCTCCTTAACCACCACATCATCTGCTGGCCCTCTCTATCTTCTGATTCTTTTTTTTTCTTTCTTAATCTTTTGATTATTTGTTTATACTTTTTATCTCTTTGCAGGGACTTTCTATTTTTTCACTGGCTTCAAGAATGTTTATAACTCCTTATTGAAGTTATTTTTTCTTTTCACAGTGAATGCTTTTAAATTGTTGTCAGATAATTCTAAAATCTCAGCCATCTCAGTTGACTTCTACCTACTGTCTTCTTTCATTCGGTTTGAGATCTTCCTGTTTTTTTTGTATGACAAGTAATTTTCAATCAAAGCTTGGACCCTTGAGTATTATGAGACCATGGCTCTTATTTAAAAGATAATTCTAAAATCTCAGCCATCTCAGTTGACTTCTACCTACTGTCTTCTTTCATTCGGTTTGAGATCTTCCTGTTTTTTTTTGTATGACAAGTAATTTTCAATCAAAGCTTGGACCCTAGAGTATTATTTAAACTTCTGTTGTAGCTGGTTTCCTGGGACACTGCTCCAGCAGGAAAGGGGGAGATACTGTTTTGATACTGCCATCTTCCTCCATCCCTATCTATAGTCCCCCAACCCATCTCTCACCCTCCATGCCCCTTTATCCTCTCTATCCTCCTCCACCTACTCATATCCCATCTTCCTCCATTCCCTTTCTCCTTCTCCTTCTCTTTCCTTCTTCTCCTATTTTTCTTCTCCTTTTCCTCTACCAATTCCTTTTCCTCCTCCTCCTTCTTCCTTCTCTTCCTTCTGCTCTTTTCTCCTTCTTCCTTTTCTTTCTTCCTCCTGTTCCACCTTTTGTTCCCCTTCTTCTTCTTCCTCCTCCTCCTTCTCCTCTACTTTTTACATCATCAAGTTACTTCCATGCCCCGAGTATCCAGTGATGAACTAAATCCTCTCTCTATATATCGCATATCTGATCCTTTCTACAACCCCAATAATGTCTCCTTTTATACTACCCATTTTACAGAAGGGAAAACTAAGGCAGATAGGTCTTGAAAGTTCTTTCCCACAGTCACATAGCAAGTAAAGGAGCTGAGTTGCAATTGATAATTCAAAAATTCACACTCTTACCACTGAGCTAAGTGAAAAGGCAAGGCTTCTGTGAACCTGCCCTGACTTCGCTGAACAAGAGAGGAGATAAAGAAGAATGAAAAGGAAATCTTCAGGCCAAATTGGCTTAGAAATATATTGTACTAACCACATCATTGCCTGACAAAAAAAATTTGAGTGAAGCCAGTGAGAAGAGAAAGAGGGGAAAAAATAGCCCAGTCCTGTGATAGATCCTGTCTGCCTTTATGTCAGAGCTGCTTTCTAAATAGAGGTTAATTTATTTCCCTTATCAAATTCTCCTGCTGGCAGACAAGCAGAACAAGGTCACAGTCACTGATCCATCTGACCCGTGTTTCTGTCCCATCTGACACCAAGAGGCTCTTGTGTCTGTAAAGCCAGAGACAAAGGTTTCAAGGTAGCACCTTGCTCCTTGCCTCTCAAGATGTCACAAAGGAAAGGCTAGGATGCACAGTTACTTACCAGGAGCCTCACCATTTAAGCTCCCTCAGGCCTCTCAGTGGTGGAGAATCTCTCCTAGAGAACTACATCTTTTTCAAATAACAAAAGAAAAGTGAACCCAGTCTGACATTTTGATTAGAGGCACCAAGATTTAAACTGACAGTAGTAGCTAGAATGTCCTGGACATTTACTGTGTGTCAGGAACGGACACTAAATGCCTTTGCATTTTGATTGTTTAATTTCATACCCACAACAGCTCTCTGAGGTGGGTGTTTTTATTGCTCACCATGGGCATAAAACAGGGCTATAAATCCTTGGACTCTTCCCCACAAGAGTTGAGGTCTTTATTTCCTCCCTGTGAATCTAGGCAGGTTTGTGATTGATTTCTATCAGTGAAGCACAGCAGAAGTGATCCTACCAAAGTTCCACCTTGCTTGCTAACTCAGTTGTTCTTTGAGCCATGAGCTACCAGGTAAGAAGCCCTACTACACTGAACCAGCCATATTGTGGGGAAGCCCAAGCCACAAGGCAAATTCATATGAGGTACTCTACTTGGTATCATTGCTGAGCCCAGACTTTGACTCATTTCAGCCCAGGCACCACACATGTGGAGACAGAGCCTCTAGATCAAAGATCAGCAAACCTTAAAGGTTTGGACAGTAAATATTTTAGTCTTCACAGGCCATATAGTCTCTGTCACAGCTATTCAATTTGCCGTTATTGCTCAAAAGCAGCTACATGAGATATGGGTGTGGCTGTGTTCTAATAAAATTTTATTCACAAAAACAGGTGGTGGGATGGATGTGACTACAGTTTGTCAATCCCTGTTCCAGATGATTCCATTCTAGCTCTCAAATGTATGTTTTCCTAGTCGAGTCCCCAGACATCATGGAGTAGAGACAAACCATCCCTTCTGTGCTCTGTCCCTAGCCCTGGCTCACAGACTCTGAGATTCAATAGTAAAAACTTTGGTGATAGAAGGAGAGGAGAAAGACATATGGTCTTTGTTGGGAGACACAGAAAGATAGGCCAGAGATGGGAGGAGGGACCAAATTACGCATGGCTTTGTGAACTACAGGAAAGAATCTGATTTGTTCTCTAAAGGCAACAGAAAGCCATTCCATGATGGTATTTAAGCAGAAAATGATACAATTCAAATTACATTCATTAAGAATCACTCTGGTGGACCAGCAGGTGGCATGATGTTTAAGGCACTAGATTCCCACATGGCTGACCATGGTTTGAGTCCTGGACCCAGCAGCTTGAAAATCACGCCAGGCACTTATAAGTGTATGCCCAGACACCTGAGAGAATGGACAAGGGGTTGTGGCAGGATCATTCCCCCTGGGGAGGTGATTTCTCATTTTTCCCTTCCTCTGTTTCTCTCTGTCTCTCTCCAGTGAGCTCAAGTGTACCCTATGGCAAAAACCTAAAAAAAAAAAAAAATCACTCTGGCTGCTGAGAATGGGTTGGAGGGGGTGATCCTCTCTTTAGTCTATGCAGAGAAGCAATACTGTGTCTGGCTAATGGAAGACCAATGGCTATCATGATACTTCTTTGGGACTTGAACACAGGTCCATCCTGGGAAAGTAGATCCCCACTTTATCCATCTTACCACAGTGCATGAAGGCCTGTGGGGCTTGGGAAATCACCTGCTGGCATGTGCAAACTTTGCCTCCTCCTATGGGGCTGAAAGTGTCTCTGGGATGGCTTTGATACAGCCCCATCAACAGACCAAACAAAGGATATGGAAATCACTCTGGAAATTTCTAGGTCATAATGGAAAGAAAGATGTATGAAGGAACTCATGGCTGACCATCTGCCTAAGGGCAGAAAATGACTAGTTGTATCTCAGAGTTCAAGGCCCCTGAAGTTAACCATCCACCCAGTCACCACCAGAAGCACAGGAATAGACTCCTATCCCTTGGAGGTTGGATGCAACAGATGTGTTGGAAAGCCCAGTGACATCTGTAAAACTGATCTGGGCGGACAGGAAACATTTCATAGAACAAAGTAGGTAGATCTGGAAAGCTAAGGAAACTCCTTTCCGTCTTTCCTCCTATTCCTATCACACCCTCCTCAACACATTCATTCTCATTCCCATGTGCCCTCATTTAGAGTCCTGGCACATGCATCCCTCCACTGATCACCAATGCCCGCAACCAAGCTTTACTCAACACTAACTACAGAGATCTAGGAGAGCCCAGGGGGGAAGAGGTGCTGGGAGGTGAAGGCCATCCTCCCACATCCATCCTTCTCCTCCTGCCCCTCACTTGGTCGTGCCAGCCCCACACACCCAGCTCAGCCTTACCTTGTTGATTTTATTGGTTTTGGGGAGCGTCTGACTGATGTGCAGGTCCGAATACCGGGGTGGCTTCCGTAGAGGATTGTTGATGTCGCATGGGACTGACTCTGTCCGGACCAACCTTGCTGGATCCGTAGGGGTAAAAACAGCAATTTGGGAATTTAAGTATCATTGCTTTGATTATGTCAGGGAGTATAGCTCAGACCTTGCCACCCAAGAGTGGGAAAGAATTCACGAAAAGTGATCGTTGTGTTACTGCAGTGGATTGGGGTGTTTGCTGTGGTTTCTAACACTTTTGTATTGTCGATATGGACCAGCAGTTGGCATGGTGGCTAAGGTGCCAGACTTCCACATGGCCGACTGTGGTTCGAGTCCTAGACCTGGTGGCTTGAAAATCATGCTGGACACATGCACACGTGTACCCAAAATCCTGAGAGAAAAATGGAAAAGGGATTGCAGTGTGGCCATCCCCCACTCCCTTGCGGGGAGTGATTTCTCACTTTCTCTCTGGTGAGCACATAAACCCTATGGCAAAAACCTTTAAAAAAAAAAAAGACAATATGAGGAATCTTGAGTAAGTTTATAGAAAATGAATATTATAGAAAAACTGCATGAATTTCAGATTTTTGCACCACTATAACCTCAAACTATAATTCCATGTTTCACAAACTTCTTATAGTCCCCTGGTAAATAATAATAAAACTGAAGCTACCCATTTTCTCAGCACCATAATGGTTTCATGCTGGCATTCATTTCAGAACTGAACCTCAGTGGACGAGCTCATGAAGCCCACCTGTCCCTGCCCTTCTAGCCTTTGTGTTAGAATCATTTTTTAAAATTACTTTTTGGATATCTCAGGCCTCAGCAGCCTGTGGCATGTTTAAACACATCACTTGTTCTAAACAACCTTGGAGGCCTGAAAGAAAGGCTCATCTCTTTCAGACTTCCCCTCTGTATCTTAAAGTCGGGCACACAGGTGATGCTAAATAAATGCTTCCTGATCCAAATCACATCCTTCAAGACCCTCTCCCTTCTTTTATTTCTGTTTCTCACAGGGAGCAAGAGGAGGGACAACAGAAAGAAGCTCAACTTCAAATCTGATGCCTGGAATTGCTACTTGTTTGCTGGTGTTTATTGCGGGGGTGAGAAAAGGGTGTTAGTTGAGAAGTTAAAGCTCTGAACTGACCTGGGGATTTAATTTCTCTGCTTAGCCTGAGCCACCATCACCATGGAAACTGACTATATTTCCAACTTCCTACCAACAGGGTGAAAAAGCAAGAAGCTGGAAGACTTCTAGAAAGTTGAGTTTACTTTGCACACAGAGGCACCTGCCGTCTTTGAGCAAAGGGGCACGACCTTGAAGAAGGGTGGGAGGGATCTCATCTTTAAATGTCAGCCTCGAAGAGTGGGTCACTCTAGCAGGCTGGTTTTTGTCGTCACATGGGAATTGGGCTCTAGCAGAACCCGCTACAGAGAAGAATTCGGTGGGAGGTGATTTTCCCAGCAAAGCTGACCGTGGCAGGGGCTCGACAGTGGTGAAAATTCTAGTTTTTAAAATAGCCTAATTGAGTGTATATGGTTACTCAGGGGACAGATAGTTCTTAAGGATGTAGGGTGGGAAGGGGCAAGAGAACAGAGCCTTCCTTCTCTTGCAATCTTCTCTCTTTGTGGAGATAAACAATGTAAAGATCATCAGAAATCAACTGCCTGTGAGCTTGAGGCTCATCCTAGCCTTTCAGTAATAATATATCTCTTTCTTGAAGTTCCCCAGGGGTTCATTTTAAAATAAGGCAGATCCTCCTCAGCACACTCTGACCAAGGCTAAGGGAGAAGAACGGATATAGTGGGAAGATAAACAAGGAGGACTCAGAATCAGAATAACAACTCGTGGGGCCCTCAAGTTGCTCCCTGGTGGTGCTCAGGCTCTTTCCAATCTGCAGATGGGAAGGTGGCATGGAGGTGGCCAGCAAGGGTTTAAAATATTTTAATAAGTTGGCAACACTTAAAAGTAAGGTTCAGCATTTGGGCTTTTGTTTTAAATGCCAGGTGCTGACAACATAGGTCCACTGTCACCGAGGTGAGTTCCTTCTCTAGACAATGTCTGGGCTTTTCTGTTTGCCATGGTTCCACCTGGCCAGTTTCTCATATTTAGGAAACTTGCTTGGGCCCTGTAGGCATCTGTGGATATATTTTTTTTAATAGAAAAATATGTCATGATTTTTCCAACAACTCAATAGAAGACTCCTGCTCTAGAAAGTGCTTCTCAGCTTTAAAGTGTATAGGAATTCCATACAGATCCTGTTTAAAAATGTAGATTCTGATTCGGTAGGTCTGAGGTAGAGCCAAAAATGGGACATTTCTAACAAATTTCTTTTTTTTTTTTTCATTTTTTTTCTTTCTTTTTTCTTTTTCTTTTTTTTTTTTTTTTTTTTTTTTTTTTTTTTTTTGAGAGGTTTTTGCTATAGGGCGTGTGCGCTCTCCAGACAGAGAAAGACGGAGAGACAGAAAACGAGAAATCACTCCCCGGGGGGATGGCCATGCTGCAATTCCTTCTCCTCCATTCTCTTCTCAGGATCTTGGGCATGCACGCACATGCGCCTGGCGTGAGTTTAAGCCACTGGGTCCGGGACTCGAACTGCGGTCCACTATGTGGGAGTCTAGCGACATAGCCATTTCGCTAACTGCTGGTCCCTTTCTAACAAATTTCGAAGTGATCCTGATGTTTCTGGTCTGTGGACCACACTTTGAGTAGCAAGACTATATCAAGGTGCCCAGTAGAACTTGTGGCAATGCTAAAAATGTTCTACAGATATAATATCTGATGCGGATTAATCTAAACTTAAATAGCCACATATGGCTAGTAGCTACCATATGGGACAGGTCTAGAGAGTCCTCCTAGGATGAACTGCAAAATGGACAAGCGGGTACAAAGGTAACTACCTCTTGGGCAAGAATCAAGGAAACTATCATGAAAGGCCAACTACAAGGCTTCCCCAGGAAGTGTGTCCTATTGAGTCCTTGGTAGACAGGGATTTATCTTTCAGATAAATCAGCCTTTCTTGCGCGTGGTAAGCGCTGGTAGTGACTCTCCCAGAGTAAGCTGCTGCCTCCTTTCTTGGACAGGGACCAGGGGATGGAACACACATGGTCCAAGTCAACAGGCCCCAATTACAGACCCTTCCTCTTGCTCACTTCTGCAAGGTCCATTCATTAGGTCTGAGGAATCCAAAATGGAAGGAAAAGGAATGGGAAAACAGAGACTAGACATGGGATATGGATAAGAACACAGATGTCTGAAAGAAGAGTGTCAACAAGAAAGAAATGAGATGGCAATTATCAGGGTGTCAGGGGGGCATGCAGAATCAGCCTAGGTAGGCCTATGCTACCTCAATGGCCCATGGAAGTCATTGCACCACCCCTACCTCCTAGGGCAACAAGTGTTAAATACTTACCTCCTCGGTGGATGATCAGGAGATGGCAGGGTGGGGCTTCTTTGGTGCATTTGTTGTGGCACTTTAACCTGAGAGAAAGAGAAAAGGTTGGATGGATGAGTGAGTGGGTAGTTGGATGGATGGATGGATGAGTAGGTAGATGGATGGATGGGTGAGTAGGTAGGTAGATAGATGGATGAGTGAGGGGTTGGTTGGATGGACAAATGAATAGGTGGATTAATGGATAGATTAATGGGTAGGTAGATGGATAGATGTGTGGATAATGGGTGGATGGGTGGGTGGATGGAGAGGAGGGAGGATGAATAAGTAGATAAATGGATAGATGACAGGGTGGATAGATGAATGGGTGGGCAGATAGGTAGATAGTAGATGGTAAGAAGATGAATGGATGGGATGTCCCAGTAGTCTGTAAAGCTCTGGGAGCTGTGGATACCAAGATGTGAGGCGAGAGGGGTAGCTACTACAAAGGTATACCCTTTGGCAACCCAGGAAATTAACTCTGGAGAGATGCTGCTGCCATTTCACTCCCTGTCAGCTGTGGGTAGGCCAAGAGTGGGTGGTAACTGTTTTCATTGATGGAGCCCATGTGGACTTCATTCTTTGAAAAATATTCTCCTCTGCAAGTCTGTTTTCATCATCATCGACATCACATTCCTGATCATCATCTATGATTTACTTGCCAGCCACCATACCAAACATTTTACATGACTATCATCCAACCTTTATAACAACCCTACAAAATGGATATTATCATCATTCCCATTTTACAGATGGAAAATTGACTTGGTGATACTTTTACAGATTAGCTGACTTGTCTTGACCAAAACCCTGGGTCAGTTTGTAGCCTCTCATTTTCCTTACAGGCTCAAGTTGCAGGAGGCATCCACCCAAGGCATCCCATTAGAATGAGATTAGCAACAGGTGTTCAGTTTTAGAGGTATTAAGTTGAAGAGTTTAGAATTTAAATGTCTTCCTGTTAGAAAAGCCTAAGATCACCTTGCTCTCCCACATACAGTTACCTGACTTCATAGGCGTAATAAAAAACCCAAATAGGAGCCAGCAGATAGCATAATGGTTAAGTCGCTGGACTCCCACATAGTTGACCATGGTTCGAGTTCTGGACCCAGAGGCTTAAAACTCACGACAGAAGTGTGTGCATCTGTGCCCAAATTTCCAAGAAGAGATTGGAAGAGAAAGGATTGCTGCATGGTCATTCCTCCAAGGGGGTGATTTCTTGCTTTCTGTCTCTCTGTGTCTCCCACAAGCATAAGTGCCCTGTAGCAAAAATCACTCTCAAAAAAAAAAAAAAAATCCTAAATTACTGCAGCTTTGTCTTTTGCTTTTAGAGTTTTATGTCCATAGGATGGATACACACATGGAAGATGTTATAGATGCTCCATCTACATCCCCTGGAATTCCCTTTCCATTTTCCAAAGAGTTCATTTATTAAGTTTGTGAGACAGCACCCCCTGATACCACCCCTAGCTTCAGTCAGCCCTGGATCATGGGCACAAGCATGCCCAGTGTACTCAGAAAGATTGCCAAAGGAATACTGGAACCTTCTCACGAAAGTCAGCCTTGCAGAGTGTCACATTTACCACTGCACCGCTGTCTGGTCCCTCGCTTGCCATTTCTGTGCCCATCAGCCCGCCTGCCAATAGTCAAAGTCCGCCAGACGGCTGTCCTCAGGCTCCTTAGAGGTTTAGTATGAACAGAAAGGCAGGCTCAGACACAGTGGCACATAGACAGCACCATTTGCTGGGGAGACTGGAGGCACATGCAAGTTCTGGGTTCATTTCCTGGGGACAGTTGTGAGCACCTGTAATCCTAGCTAACCGAGAGGCCGGGAAGAAGGATCCCCACAAGGGGAGACTATCAAAAGCATCTCTAGCTTTCATTTCCTACCATAAAGGAAAAAAACAGAAAGGCATATACACTCTGCAGAGAAGTAGGGCTCTTCATTTATTTTTTGAGAGAGATGTTTTTCTGTAGGGCACATGTACTTGCCAGGGAAATAGAAAAAGTGAGAAACCACGGGTCCCCTCCCAAGGAGATGGTTATGCCACAATCTCTTCTCCTCTCAGGATTTTGGGCACACACGCACATGCATCCAGCATGAGTTCAAGCCACTGGGTCCAGGACTCAAACAGCAGTCGACCATGTGGGAGTCCAGCACCCTAACCAAACACCACCTGCTGGCCCCAGAAGTGGGGCCTTTAAATTTGCGTTCTACCCTCTCTCACTCTAGGGATTTGTTAGTTCTCTTTAACAGAATTGTTGGAATACCCAGATATAGACTTGAGCTTGACTCTTCCAATTAGTCTAGCTCAGTGGCTCTCAAAGTGGGGCCTCCGCCCAGCAGCACCGGCAACATCTGGGAACTTTTTTGGTGCCCTCCTCCCCTCCCCTCCACCCCACCAGAGCTACCAAATTAGTCATTCTGAGATGAGGATGCAGCTAGCAACAATCCGTGTGTGTGTTTAAGTTTATTTATTTATTTCTTCTGACAGAGACAGAAGAGAGAAGAGATAGGTATCCCTAACGGAGTCTTCATGCTGTGATCCACCCCTGTTCTCAGCTGGCCCAGTCACAGGTACACACATGCTCACTGTGCACAGGGAGACCTCAGGATGTGAACCCTAGAACTTCCCATGTGGGTCTAGTATCAGAGAGCATCGTGTTACTGCTGTCTCACTGTCTGGGCCTTGCATTCTGGATTTTGCTGTTGTTTTTATGCCAGAGGGTGTGAAAAGATGCACGAGAGAGAGAGAGAGAGGCAGGGGCAGAAGAGCAAACACAATCCTCAATGGGGCCCGATCACATCACAATCCTTTTTCCTCCAATTCTCCATCCTGGCAGGATTCTGGGTATGTGCATACTCCAAGTGCGCCAGGCTCTGAGCCTGCTCAGCCATGTAGGATCTGGCTTCTTCTGCACTGTGCTTAAGTGCTGTGCTATGAGGCCACCCCCAAGCTGTTATTTTGGCTTGTTTTCATTTCTTTTAATTTGCCAGAAAGAAAGGAGAAAGAGAAAGCACTCTGCAAGGGGCACGGTCATGCTGCAATCCCCTCTCCGTCCTGTTGGGATTTTGGACACACATGCACATGCACCTAGCATGTTTCTCAAGATGACAGGGTGGGATTCAAACCACATGGTCAGCCATGCGGCATCCAGCTGCCTTAACCACCAGCCCATGGAGCCAGCTCCCAGTCTGTGTTTTAACAAGCCCTCCCTGCAAGTCCACAGCATGCTCAGGTGTGAGAACCAGCAGCCTAGCTGACTATTCAGAATGTCTGTGCACATTTCCTGATTTTTCTGGTGTCAGTCTTTCATGTCCATGATAGAGCCCTGAATCCCTCTCTATGTGTAAAAGTCAGCCTGGAGCTACTGAGAGTGCAGAGAGGAATAGCAGGGACACGGGCACCATGAGAAATGCTGAATCACCTCGTGAGAACGGCAGGCTCTGGCTTTATCTTTCTATCCCCCTGCTCCTCTAAGGCTCCTAGACTCTCAGATCCATGGAGAAGGTCCTGGTCCTCACAGGATAACCCATGTTACATCGAGATCCTGATGCTCACTGCCAGTGGATGGAGTGATGAGGCTGAATGGGTGAGAACAGGAGTGCCAAGGACACAAGGACAGGGCAGCAGCCTGGGGCCCGAAGGTCGTGGTGAAGACTTGCGCCTGGTGCTACAGGCACCGAGAGGCCACTAGAGAATTTTGAGAACTGCAACACAGACTGATATTTGGGAAACTCTGAGTAGGGGAATCTGCTATGCCAAATGAGGGCCAAACCAAGAAGTTTCTGCACTCAGAATAGCTGGATGGTACCCTGGATGCTTCCTGAAAGAATTTTCCTTTTTGCTGTCCCCACCTAGGGGTCTTCTACCTGCAAACCTTGGGCAAGCTGGATCAGCCCAGCTGGAAGGGCGACTTGCAGATGCAAAGAAGCCCAGTCACTATCCTGGGCAGCTCTCAGAAGCAGGGACAAGCAATTGAGCTTATCTTTTGGGCCACTGCCAAAGCAGGACTGGACAGGAGAGGCCTCCTGCCCGACCTGTTTCCTGCCCTCCTCCCTGGCATTTTCCTCTTTAGTGTCCCTTGCTGGTTGTCTCTTGCAGAAATGGAAAAGCCCTCCTTCACCTCTGGCCCAAGAGTGGGAGGTGGGACACTCTTCCTTCTAGCCAGCAGCTTCAGAGGGCAGAGCCAGGGGTAGGAGCTCAGCCCTGCTCCTGCAGAAAACCACAAGAGAAATATCTCCAATGCCCAGGCACTTAAGCCTTGCACAGAAGTTCAGATGTCAAGAACTGGAGCCCGCACATTCAGGATCCCTGCTAATAGAGTAGCAGGATGCGCTGAACACTGATGACACAGACCCTGGAGGGAGGGAGAAGGGGCCGCACAGAGGCTTTGCACTGGGCACACACTATGTCTCACTTATGGAGGATCATTTTTCCAGCTGGAAATTCACATGAGTCCCCCAAATAAGACTTTTCCTTTTCACTGCCCATGAAAGAAAGAGCTTCCAGCATGCAATTTATCAGCAGACCACTTGCTTCAGTATCCCATTACCAAACCTCACCCTCCAAAGTTGTAACTTGGTGTCTGCTGGGAATGTGAATTTTTAGCAAGCATATACAAAAGCTTGAGAACCACAATATGAGAAAAATATATTTGGGCCGGCCCCACATAGCCTACTGGTTAAGGGGGCCAGATCTCACATGGCTTACTGGGGTTTGAATCCTGGCCCTGGAAGCTTGAAAACTACTCCAGGCACATGTGCATGTGTACCCCAAATCCTGACAGGATAGAGAGATGGAGACGGGACTGCGGTGTGCCTATCCCCCTCAGGGGTAGGGGGTACTTTCTCCTCTCTGTCTCCCTATATTTCCCTGGAAATTATACCCACCCTCTGGCAATTATAAAAAAAAGAAAAGAAAGAAGGAAAAATACATTTTGCTTCCCAGATGAGAGATGTCTTGGAACCTAAATCTTCCAGAATACAATTCCTCCCTCAAAAAGGGAAGCAGGGTCAGGAGAGTATACAGAATGAACCTGGGTTCAAATC